GAAGGAAGGAAGGAAGGAAGGAAGGAAGGAAGGAAGGAAGGAAGGAAGGAAGGTCAGTCATTGGTCTTTCGTGGTGTTTGATATGCTGTCATGCTCCCTGCTTCCAAGGGGCTCAAGGCAACACACGTGGAATTCCTGTCTAATATTCTTATTTCAGCCAAAGGACAACAAGCAGTTTAAAATCACCAGGCATCATGTAAAAAGCAGTGATTTAAAATTCAAGTTTCCTTGATCCAAATCTGATGAGACACATGTGGATAGAATGGGCATTTTAAATATACATTGTCCAGGCAAAATCTGGTTGAGATGAGTAACAGGAATCGTTGCTGGAACGGGGCTTTCCATGTCTGGTGTGAGCTGCTGCTGAAGTCATGGCAGTAAAAGTGGTTTCTGATCTACGTGTAGAAGTGCTGACCCAGAAATCATTTTCCTTCAGGAAGGATGCGGTTTCACAAGCCAGGCACTCTGTGTGGCATTTATGTTGCAATGCAGATTGAAGGGACTTCACTGGTTTTTGTTAAGCCCAGTAGTTCATGGGGAGCAAAGTAGTCACTGATGGGTTATCAGGGTAGTTTTTAATCAAAACACCATAATTAATAAATTGTGGAAGAAGTCCAAAGTGATGCCACCATGTAGATGAGGCTCAGAAGTAACCATGAATATGAAACCAGCAAGAGAAACTTAGTTTCTGGAAGTTGTTAAAGAAACTTAGTTTCTGGAAGTTGTTAAAAGTAAATGTGAGGTTTAACAGCAGCTCTTCTTGGTAGCAACTCATGGTGCTTAGTCCTTTCATGTCAGAGAAAAATATGGATTATTGAGTCCTCATATTGCTAGTTGCTTCATTGTCACCCCAGAAGCTTGTTAAAACATGCCTTCCTCAACTTTGGAAGACTTTTGCCTCTGAGCTCTTATTTTCCAAGACCAACCTAACTTACACTTATCTTTTATCCTATAATACATAAAATTTTATTTAAAATATTTTTAGGTTGCTTGCAAGCAGATTACAAAAAGTAAAATAATAAGGGAAAGGGTGATTGCCAACTCGGCTGAAAGCTGTCTTAGCTCTGGACCCTAAAAATTAAAATAAAAATATAATCCCTTGTGGTGGAAGGACCTGGGTTGTCACAATAAATTGTGTGTCCCTTCCAAGATTACAGCTCCCTATAAGGGGAAAATAGTGAGCAACGAACAGGGATTTCAAATACAGAAATTAGGATTTATTTAACAGAACGGAAAAAGTGAAGAAAAAAAAGGGACACTCAGAAGAATACATGTAAACCAAGAATTTAAACAGAAAACAGCCTAATAGAGATCAATAATTAAATTATCCACAATCAAATTATCCATAAAATCTGTGTAACTGAGCAAGCCTCAATGACAGGGGCATCCACCAGGGGAAGTGTCAAAAAAGTCAAGATGGCAGCTATGATCATGTGATTAAAGCCCCACCCCTTTTTGCATGCATGGGGTGGAGCTTTAATCATGTGGCTTTGGGTGTTTTGCCCCTCACTATGGACACTCCTGCTGACCCAATTGCCTGTGTTAAACTAGTGTTGGAATCAATATCATCCATTTCCCAATCTTTCCAGAAATTCCCAGCTATATTCTCTCCTCCCTATTCTCCGAAGCAACTGCTCTTCCTGAGGGCAGCCCCACTTGGATAGTGAGAAGAACCGGCCACTTAGGAGTGACACCACTGTGGGCAGAAGTAATAAAATTAAAAGGAAGTAATCCTGTTGCATTGCCGATGGACGCCCCACCCTTTCCTTTCTCCTGTAGGCGTCTTTTGGATTGTAAGTTTGAATCCAGCAATCTAGTCTCTCAGACCTTCTGTACGGATAATTAATGCAGGATCTAGAAATAGATGTACAAAGAAAAGGTCTGGTAGAGGGCTGCTTGTGGCCCATGGAACAAAGCAGTTGACCTTTCTGTCAAAGACTAGATGACCTGCTTCTGGTTTGACTCAGAAGATTCCTTGCACCAGGCATCTAGGATTCTGATCTCTGGGGGCAGGCCGAGTCTTTCTAACATATATCCAAATGACATATTCCTGTGTGTTAATTGTTTGGAAGGATGTTCCAGTTTATTGCTAGAATTTGAGTGAGAACTTTGGCTAAAGTCAGAAAAGGTATGTGTTGAGGCCAGAAGTTCAGGTCCTTGATATTTGTATCACCCCGTGTCCAATGCCAGCCAACTATAGGGGCCGCATATAGTTCCACATACATATGTTTGTTTTGTGCCTGAAGAGGTATCTGAGATTTGAAAAGACACAGAGGTAGGTAGGCCATTAAACAATGGTTACCTGTATGTTTTCCCCTCTGGAGCTAATAGCAGCTGAGGTGGGGGCTTAGATGAGAATAAAAGGATAGGTAGAAAGGGAAAAACGCCTCTCCACCAGCATAATTTCCTCAGAATTCTGTGAGCAGTTCTTGGGGATCTCCTACCTTCAGGCTTGATCCAACGTTGGGAAGAAGATGAAAAGGTCTTCTCTGGAAGGCTTCTGGAGTCTGATGCCAGGTAATGTTTTGGGATGTTTTAATGCATTTATCACATTTTTTGTTTGATTTTTTTTTATTTTGTTTATTATTGTGAGCTACCAAAGGTCTTCCATGATTGTGGCAGAGTATTGATTTGAGAGAGAAAGAAAAAAAAAGAAAAAAGGAAGGGAGGGAGGAATAAGCGGGAGTGGGGGGAAGGAAGGAAGGAAGGAAGGAAGGAAGGAAGGAAGGAAGGAAGGAAGGAAGG